ACTTCTAATTATGCATGATTTTGTAAATTTCTAGTCATGTTACCTTTGTGTTGACCTGCTGTATAAAACAAAAAGAAAAAAAAATAAAGTAATCTCATAACTGTCCGGCCACGTTCGAGCGCCGAATTCAGCACGTCGTCGCCGCCCAAATCGCGCACATCCCGCACTTCGCACGTCGAAGTCGCCTCACGCACGACCTCGTGTCGTTAAAGAGCCAAGGAAAAGAGGCCGAAGGCCTCTTTCTCTCATTCCCCCGCTCTGATCTCTCCCCCGACTCCTCCCTGCTGTTCGACTTCGCTCAAATCGACGACCTTCCCTTCCAGTCGGATCGGAAGTTACGACATTTGATCGCAAGCAACGACGGGATCCCGCCGGCTGTGAAGATAACTCTCTCCCCGTCGAGCGCTTCGCCGGCTCCTTTGCTATTCAACTTCGCTGCCTCCGACGACTTTACCTGTCTGCCAGATCGGAAGCAACATCCGGAGCTAGCTTGCTGCGGCAGTAACTTTCTCCCTTCCGCTCCTACTCCCGCGTGGCTGCCCGATTTCACTTGTTCGACGACTGCCTTGCCTGCCGGACCAGAAGTTTGGACATTTTGATCGGAAATACCAAGAGCTCGTTGGCTGTGAAGGTAACATTCTCCCTATCGAGCACTTTGTCGGCCAAATCCCGTGAACTTGCCAAAGCCAGAGAGAGGGAGAGTTTAATTTTTTTATAATTAAAATTAATTTTAATTAATTTTAATTATATTTATCCTAATTAATTTTAGTTATTATAGTTAATTTTAATTAATTTTAATTAAATAATTATAATTAATATTAATTAATTATAATTACTTTAATTAAAAATAATATTAATTAATTATATTATTACTTGTTTATTATTAATTGTGATTAATTAATATTAATTAGTTTAATTAATTGAAATTAAATATAATTAATTATCTTAATTAATTATAATAATTATAATTAATTACTTTAATTAATTATAGATAATTTTAAATAAACATAATTATTTAAGGATAATTATAATTACTAATTTTTTGATTTCGCGGTATTTTCTTTCGACTGTAATTTTTGACGATGTCTAAAAATATTGTGGTAGTAGAATAAAAGTCTTGCAATGTCGTTGTGAACATTCTGTGATAATTTTGTAATTTGTGATTTTTTAGGAAATTTTGTGTAAATTCCGTATACTACCGTTACGCTGCCGGATTTTCGTATGATTTCTGAAATTTGTCCGGATTTGTTCTGAAATGAATTGATATGATTGTGTGCTATAAAAAGGGAGTTATAAGGGGTCAGGATCCTGTGAGATTCTATCTGTGTCAAGGAAAATCTGAAATGAGCTCTGAAATCTGTTTCTGAATACAAGTTTCGGATCCGATGATAAGTTCTGTTCTGGTGCTATAAGCACATCTGTTTTGGTGCCTTGAGCACAAAGGGAGGCATAAGGGGCCAGAATCCAAGAGATTCTGTCAGTGTCTGGGAAGGGAGGCATAAGGGGCCAGAATCCGTTGAGATTCTGTTAGTGTTAGGGAATCTGTTCTGCTTTGATCTGTTCTGATTTCTGATATGCACTGAATTGATATGATTTCTGATTCCTGATCTGTATTTTGATTCTGATTATGTCTGTTCTGATATGACTTCTATTATGATATGATTTCTGATTTTTGATTTCCGTACGTTCTGTCAGTTCTGATGTGATGTATTTCTACTCTATTCTGATTTGATCTGATCTGTACGATTCTGATTCTGTTCTGATTTGATATACAATTCTGTCCCGATTTCTGTATGGATTTCTGTCTGATGTGTTTGATGTGGACTCTGAGGATTTTGATTGGAGGTTTGTTGTCTTGCTGAGCTGTTGTAGCTCATCCTTATTTTCTACGTGGTTTTTAGGTTCTGGAAAGGGGAAGGAAGTTCAGGAATAGAAGTTCAGAGTCCGATCTGTTATAGGTATTTTGTCCTTTTGATTTTTGTACAGTCATGGCTTTTCTGTTCTGTCTTTCTTTCTGTCTGAAAGCCATGAGCTGTATTTGTATATGATTCTTTTGAGGAAGAAAAAAAAAGATAGATGATCTGTTCCGCTGTCTATTGATGTTTATAGTAGCTCTGTCTGTCTGTTTCTGTGTGTAATGTTTGGAAGAAAGTTCTGAAACAAATTCCAAAGCCAGATCCTAGAATCAGTTCAGTCAGTCTGAATGTTTCAGGCCTCACGACCTGATGCGAGCGGGACCCATCCCGGTCGGGTTGGGTCGTGACAGGACGTCTTTTGGTGGCAGAGGAGAACTCCGGCATCATTCTAGCGGAGTTTCGGCGTCAGGAGGGAACTCTGTTGTTAATTGGAAAGAATTTCAGAAATCCGTGGAACTTGGGTAGAATTTTGGCGTCCCGTGGAAGTTGGGCAGAATTTTGGCGTTTTCTCGAATATCTAGCAGAATCCCGGCGTGTTCGGGCGGCGGGAAGAACTCCAGCGGTGGTCGAGGAGGAGCTGATTCTCCTTCCCCTTCTCTTCTTCTTCACTTCTTCTTCTTGCGTCTTCTCCCTTCTTACTTGAGTCCTCTTGTGAAGAATGATGGCTCTATTTATAGTTTTTCATGAGTGATATGGCTTGTAAATAGGTGTGAGATTAGGGGCGAACAGGGAGTGGTTGAATGGACGGCTGATATTGAATCCTTTGATTATACACCGTTCGTAAGCCATTTGAAGGCATTAGTGATGTCGGAATCCGGCGATCTTGGGCTTGTTGGATTTTTCTCGTCGAGACGTTCGATTCGACTATAAGCTCCTCAAAATCGAAGACTGTTTCGTAACTCAAATTGTGGTTTGAACCTTACAACATTGCTTTGAGTCCTTGATTTGGACTCATTTGGGCTCGGATTGAGTCAAATTTGGTGTCGTTGGGTTTGTATTTTTGAGACGCTCAGTTTTACTATAAGTTTACTGAAATCGGAGTTCAGGTGCTCCTGGATTTAATTTTTGAAGTTTCAAACTTGATTTTTGCCTCGAGATTCGTGCCCGATCAAGATAGTTTTTGCATAACGCATCAAACTTTAATCTTATGACTAAGTCTTCATACTCTGCTTGGTTGTAAGTGAATTGAAAATCAATTTGAATATCCTGTATTAATATAATTTTAGTCCATGCTTGCATGACTTAGGCTTCGTTTGGGAGGGCTGCAGCTGTCGGTAAAGCAGGTTGTGAAGCTGATGTACAAAAAGTTCAGTTGTGAAGTTGCTGTATAGAAAGCAGTATATTTTGTTTGGGAAGTATAATTGTCGAGCTGCTGTGCTGCAGCTGTATGAGAACAAATTACGGTTATAACTTATATATATTGTGATGAAAGAAAATTGCTTAAATATCAAAATATTTTTAAATTTTTTTATTCAATTAAAAGATTAAATAAGTATGTAATTATATATCCTCAACAAATATTTCAACTTCAAGAATAACGAAACTACATGAAGAATAATCATATGCTATTACAGGTTTCTTTATCTTCTTTAAGATCGCATACAAGATATTAGAAAAATCCAGCAGATCCTACAGAGGTTCCCTCTTTTCTCTGCCCTCTACATTCGAAGATCTCCAAAGTCTCTCAAAACATGGCTGTCGCCGGCGAAGTCGCCGGTCATTCTTCTCTTCTAGGCAGGTCCTCTCTACTCTCCGACCCCAAAATTTTGAAAATGGAACACAGAAGCGGCCTCTGTTTTTCCATGCTTGCTCTGTTTCCAGTGAAACAGGGGAGGCTTCCGTCCCGTTCTTTGAAAGTTATGCGGCCACCGGTTGCTACGATAAGCGAGGAGGTGTTGAGTTGGCGGAGAAGATAAGAGGCGGAAGATTGGGAGACGGCAGCATCGGCGAGATGGGACGGGAACTGGAAAGTGAAGAAGATTGATTGGAGAAGCCGGGTCGGGAGATTGCCGCGAGACGATCATGAGGAGCTTGACGTTGGATTTTAGGTTCCGCAATTGTAGCCTTCCAAAATTTACCTCGGAACTTATCAGTTAAAACTCCCCTCGCCGAATAATAAATAAAATGAAGATCGCGCGGCGGGGAGGCCGGGGCCAAATTTTCGGAGCCCACACTTTGGTATGTTGCTTTTCTTTCCTAATCTAGCCACGTTAGTTGTACCTACCTATCCTATGTTGCTTCGTCCTGTGATATGACAAATTACATAGCAAGTTGATGTTGCAACTGAGGCCAAGTAGCAATTATGAATGATAACATTCTCAAGGGGTTGGAGTGATCATGTTGTAGGATTTAATGCTTTCATACTTGCAACTCCTTGAGTGGCCCATGGTTACGATGTAATTTTCATTAAATTTTGTAATAGTTTGTATGCCAAACATCTGTGGACAGTGTTGGCATTATGTTTATTAGTTTTCATGGCAATTGTGATGAAGTCAAATGTATATTTTTGTTTTTCTTATTCTTCTTTCTTTCTTGAACAATGGGTACAATAGATTTTAAGAAGCATTCTTGACAGTTTGCTCCGTTATATTCTAATTCTGAAAGTTGAATGTGCTTCTTACAATGCAAAAGGGTTCGTTAATGCAGATGACCATGGTAGCAGTAGGCATTGGAGCATTTTTCTAAAGGTTAATCATTTTTCAGATATGAAACCTCTGCCAATTCCTAGTAGCATGACAGAAGAGGACAAATACATTTGTCATTTCTTTGTAGTGTTGTACGACTGGGGATAGAGATAGGTTTTCTTATATGACTGGTAGGGTAAAATGTCGTTATCTCTGTATAAAGGTATTGCTTTCAAGGGTAGTCTGAAGAAATAAAAAGTGCAAACTCATGTTAATTCAATGTTTTCTTTGGTGGTTGTACACAATTTTGGCTGCTACAGTCTTAACTTGGAGCAGCCACAAGCAGGATGTATCTTTGTTGAGGATGCAGTCGAGCATTTTCAGACTTTCTTTATCCTGTGCTTACCATTTTGTTTTTCCATAATTTGCCATTAAAGAAATGTTTGTAAGATACTCCACATGTGAGCATAATTACTATGTGACTCACAATTACTAGTGATCCAGGTGGGTGTTCTCCCAATGGATGAATCAAAGGTCATCATGAAAGGTAGATTGGGTCCGGGAATGATGATAACTGTTGATCTACAGAGTGGACAGGTCTAGTACTTTTGCTTGTTTTCATTTCATTATTATTGTTGAAAACTTGCTACTAATGAGCAAATTCCTTCTTAGTTATTTACAGTCATATTTACCATTTATTCTGAATGTGCTAATCAATTTGACCTGAAGGTATGTTTTAGTTGGTCATGATTTGGCTTCTAAGTTGATATTCAACGTTTTATGGCTTGAATTTATAGTAAGAAAGCTCAGCACTACATCAAGGATTATGAGCAAGAAAGTGATAAATAGGAGATTATTTTATCATAAGATCTACTGAAGCATATTATTTTTGTTCTACCACAATGTTTTCAAAGGCAGTAATATTTCCATATTTGGTTGTCAGACAAATCTTAAGTGCAAATTTTCATTCTGAATTCAGCCTATTTGAGCTTGTCATTCTGTTTCGTATCAGAACATTGCTAGAAAATATGGAGACATTAAAAATTTAATTAAACGGATGATTGTTAAAACGTAGCTTCCTAGATACATTACTGCTCTTAGGTTTCATATTTAATGAATGGCACATTTATTTCGTAAAGTTCTAATGAAATTTTTTTTTGGCTTCCTGTGTAGGGAGTTTCTTATCAGAATCATGCAGCAATTGTTGCTTATAATTCATAATCCATTTCCGTTATTTGCAGGTTTATGAAAATACAGATGTTAAGAAGAGCATAGCATCACTTTATCCCTACAGGAAGTGGCTGACTGAGAACATGAGGACATTGAAGCCCGTCAACTTTCTGTCATCACTTGTCCTGGATAATGATACAATACTGAGGCAGCAACAGTAAGGATCACTTGTTCAATCGCTCATCTAATACTTGGGTTCTGATTCTGGCCTATTTTATGTTGCTGTTGGTTGTATATTAGTTTAATTCTTTGAAATATCTAATTTATTATGTTACAATGTTTATTAAATTATTCAATTATAGTTACTAAAATTTGGCCATTTTATTGTGGTGCTCTCATATCCATTTTTTGTTCCATGCGTTAATCACCACAAACCTTAACTTTGTTTGTGTTCATAAAGGCATATGTGCCTACTCTCCCATATCAGTACTTACCTAAGTTCTTTCTGTTAGCATGATTGTAGTTTCATATCTTCACCATCATCATTAGATGTTGAGAAACTATTACTTTTATGTGGAACATTTCACATTATTTGATGTAATTGATTTAGTCAGATGTTATATTTGCACAACTATGTTTATCACTGAATTTATTCCTTTCTAAATTTTCGAGTTTGTTGGATCAGGGCATTTGGCTACTCCAGTGAAGATGTTCAGATGGTAATTGAAACAATGGCTGCACAAGGAAAAGAGCCAACATTTTGCATGGGTGATGATATTCCACTAGCTGTATTGTCTCTGAAACCACATATGATCTTTGACTATTTCAAGCAGCGCTTTGCACAGGTAGGTTGTGCACTTTTGCAAAATATAAGTTTGTTAATTGTGCTGCAATGCTAGCATGTCCACTTTCAAAATGAAAAAAAAAGCATGTTGAATTTGTGGATGCACTTTCGTGCATTGGAGCTATTGTCTCCATTTTTCCTTGCGTGCAGATATTTATGAATCAATGTTTCTGTAATCTCTCCCTAGCTCTCTGAATTTTTCTATTTTGTTTTGTGAGTATTGGCAATTGAAATATCATAATTGGTTATTATGCTAGGGAGTGCAGCTTCTGAGGATGACATAAATATTGAATTTTTTTTTATAATGTTCTGCTTTTTTTCCTTGGCATATAACACTGGCATGATGTAGAACTAGATGCGTATGTAAATATCCAATGTTGAAATTAAACGCCTTAGATTAGAGCAACAATAATTATTCTAACTTTTAGCGAATTAAACAGAGATTAAATACAATAAGAGGGATGATGTAGCTTAGGACAAATTACACGATAATCATTAACCAATTCAATCAAGCTTAACATAACATGGGGGATTTTCAAAGGAAATCCCTAAATTAACATTTAGACTAGTTACTATTTGGGTCCACTCACTCATACTCTTAATAAATTGCCTTGCGGAGATAGTTTACACAATCTTTATGATGCCACAATTGAAGGGGATTTAAAAGGTACAAGGAAGAGAAAGAGTTTACCAACAAGGAAGAAGATTTGAAGCTTTGGCGAAGTTGTTTGGTTGCTTATGTGGAGAAATGGCTACAGAACTCTTCCCATATGCTTTAGGCAGCAGTACAATAATTCTGGATGTTTGGATGATGATCGAACAGTTCCTGAAAGTTGGAACAGCGAACTAGACAAGCTCTGGATGTTAGGACAGCAAGTTGTCACATGTTGGAAGCTTTGGACAGCGAGCTAGGAGGTCCTGGACAGCAAGGAAGCAAACTATGGCGTGCAGGAAATTCTGGACAGCAACTAGGATGATTTCCAGATGCAAGACAGCAATCTTGGTGTAGGAGAAAACCTGTAATGATCGATGTACATGTGGGAGGGAGGTTAGGGAGGCTAATTCAAAGTGGAGGGGTGGTGGTAGGGGCCGACCATAGAGGAGGGAAAGGAAGGATTTAGTTGTAGTCTTGTAGAACTTGTATTTGAATCAAGGAGGAAAAAATCTGAAATTAAATTCAGATTTAAGGGAGGAGATTATTAGGGAACTTGATTTTAATTTCTCTAAAATGAAAGAGAGAAAGAGGGAATAAGGGGAGGGGGTGGCTAATTGTCTCCTTAATTAGAGATCCCAATTGGGAAGGAAACAATTAAAAAGAGAGAGAGAGAGAGCGAGAGAGAGAGAGAGAGAGAGAGAGAGAGAGAGAGAGGACCGGCCAAAAGGAGGGAAAAGGGAAGGAGTCTTCATACGTTGAATGCGTCCGCATACGTTGAATGTGGATTTAAAATCAAATCCTATTTAATTTCAGATTTGCAATAATTGGGGGGCTTTCCTAAAATAAGTTATATCATTTTGGAAAAAAATTGAATTTCAAATTTATTTGAATTTGAATTAAAAAAACTTCTAAGTTAATAATGAAATATTTTAGGAAAGTAATAAATCTAGGAGGGAAAGGGGTGGCCGGTGGCTAGGGTTTGAGATGGTGGGGCTAGGGTCAGCGGTGTTGGTGCAATTGGAGAAAATAATTTCATAATATTCATCATCCTCTCTCAAGAAGAGAAAATGGGTATAAATAGCCAAGTACAATAGTAAACATCAAAAGACAAAAGTGCCTCTCAAGGGTCACAAAAACCTAGAGGGTAAAATCGAAAATAATAAAATAATAAATAAAAATACAAATAATAACTTCAGAAATAAAGGGATGCAATTGTGGCCGTCAATTTCCAGCCCCGTCTCTAATAAACTCTCCACTGTCGGATGTCCTCATCATTCTCCCGAGGTAGAAAAGTGCACAACTCCGTCAAGTATGAATCTCGGGTGCTCTTATAAATCTCCAGTGCATCTGGATCAATCTGCTGAAGCTCCTCGTGCTCTAGCCAAGTGTCCTCTGACTCTAGCTTACCTCTCAACCTTACCAAATACCTTTGTCCACCCTCTTTTTCTGGAAATGATATCATCACTTAAAATCCTGTCAACTTTCTCTGCTATGGATGTTTTGGAAATATTTGGAAGTGGAGGGCTTTGGTTCTCACGGGGTGGGGTCATACCAGGCTCAGTTTGTAGTGGATTTGGTGGGTTAAACTCTGGACACTCAAAGGCTTCTAAATTTTCAATGTTAAAAGAGGAATTAATATTGAATTCTGCAGGCAGATCCACCACGTAATCATTATCATTAATTTTCTTGATTATTTTGAATGGTCTTGCACTTTTAGCATGTAATTTCTTAATGACACATTGTGGAAACCGTTCCTGATGAATCCGCACCATCACTGAATCACCAACCTCAAATATCTTAAATCTTCTTTTAAGATAAGCATGGAGTTTATAATTAATGTTGCTCTATTCAATTCGGCATGTTCTTTCTTTATGCAATTCATGCAGATGCGATGCAAATGAGGATGCAGACTTAGAAATCCTATACTTAAGATACATGTGTATGAGATCTAAAGGATGTCTAGGTTTGTACTTATATATAATTATAGTAGGACTTAAACCAGTGGTGCGATTTACATAATTGTTGTAGGCAAATTCAGTCATGGGGAGTTTGGAATCCCAATCCTTAATGTGTTCACCTACTAAGGACCTAATAAATTTCCTAGGCTTCTATTAACTACTTTTGTTTGACCGCTGGTTTGATGGTGAAAGATTGTGGAGAATTGAAGTTTGGTGCGCATTTTCATTCAAAGAGTTTTTCAGAAATAGTTCGTGCATTTAACATTCTTGTCAGATACAATGGTCTTGGGTAAACTATGTAATCTGACGACCTCATTAAAGTATAATTTGGCAATATGGTTGTATCAGATGTCTTATAACAGGGTAGAAAATGTGTCATTTTGGAGAATTGACCGACTATGACACAGATGGCATCATTCCTGCAAAAAGTTTTTGGCAAGCCAAGGATGAAGTCCATGCTGACATCTTGTCACGGGCAGCTGAGAACTGGTAAAGGAGTGTAGAGACCAGTGTTTTGCTTACGTGTTTGGCTAGTTGGCAAGTGTGTCACCTACTAATCATTTTACCCACATCCTTCTTCAGGCTAGGCCATAAGAAGCGGTACTCTACGACTTCAATAGTCTTATCACGACCGAAGTATCTAGCGAGGCCTCCGGCGTGAATTTTTCAAACGAGGAATTACCGTAGGGAAGTGCTTGGGATACAAAGCTTCTGAGCTTTAAAAAGGTATCCGTCTTCAAGCAGAAAATCATCCATAAGGCACGTGCTGCCTGTGGACAAAAGAGAGTAAGTCTACTTGAAATCGGGGCATTCGAAGTAATCCTCTTTGTCTCGCTTGAACTCTATGACTTTTGCTCTCATTTTGGTGGCAATCATCATTCGACGATTGAGAGCATCAACAATCTTATTTTCAACTCCTACATTGTGCCTTAGGGTATAAGTGTATTCCTGTAAGAACTATACCCAATGTTCATGGCGTGCATTCAACTTCTTCTGGGAGTTGATGTAATGAAACCTCGTGATTCGAAAAGATGAACTCTTGCGGGAGCATGTAATGTCACCAATGTCGAAGGGATTGGATCACAACATAGAACTTTTTGTCGTACTTGGAATAACACTGCCAGATGTCATTTAGATTTTCGCTAAAGTAGGCAACATGGTGACCTTCCTGGTACAGGACTCCTCCAATTCCGACCCCCGAAGCATCACAGGTAACTTCGAAGACTTTGGAGAAGTCATGAAGTCTCATCACTGAAGCTTCCACCATTCTTTTCTTAATTTTCTTGAAGGTTTTGGTGGCAGCCGGGGTCTAGTGAAAATCACATTTCTTACGACAATCAGTGATAGGAGACACAATGGCGCTAAAGTTTCTAATGAATCTCCTATATAAGGTGGCCAAACAATGGAAGCTGCCGACTTTCTGGATGTCTGGTCATTCTACAATGGCTTTCACCTTCTCGGGATTGCAGAGAACCCTTGGACAGACACGATAAAGCCTAGAAAAATTAATGCGTCAAAAAGGAAGGTGCATTTCTTAGGATTAACATAAAGTTGTTCATTCCTTAAGACTTCACAAAATTGCCTTAAGTGGTCTAAGTGTTGACGCACGGACCGGCTATAGATAAGAATGTCATTGAAGTAGACAACATTTAACTTGCCTATGAAAGGGCACAATACTTGTGTCATGACTCTCATGAATGTACTAGGGGCATTTCTCAACCCGAAAGGCATAACCATCCACTTATATAGACCATCCTTGGTCTTAAAGTCAATCTTCAAAATCTGATGGTACCTACTCTTAAGGTCAATCTTGGAAAAAAGTGGTTCCTGTCATCATGTCAAGCATATCGTCTAATCTCGGGATAGGAAAAAAGATATGTAATAGTTATTTTGTTGATGACATGGCTATAAACGTACATTCTCCAAGTACCATCCTTCTTCGTGTAAGAAGAGCTGGTACAACACAGGGCTGATGCTTTCCTTGATATAGCCCCGCTGTTGTAACTCATCCACTTGCTTCTTAAGCTCAACATGTTCCGTGGGGTTCATCCGATAATGGGGCAGGTTGGGAAGGGAGGTTTTAGGGACAAGATCTATAGCGTGCTGGATGTCTCTAAGCAGGGGTAATTGATCAGGGAGATGATTAGAGAAGACATCAGCATAGTCTCTCAGTGTGGGTTGGACCTCCTAAGGAATAGGCTCATCAGTTTCAATGGGAGTCTCATGGCCAACCAAGGCGTACATGGGTGCGCCTTGGGCAATCTTAGAATTCAAGACCTTAGCTATCACAAGGTTCAACCCTTTCTTAGGCTTGGGGTCATCTCTAACCATGGGCTACATAGGCAAAAGATTGATTTCTTGCCGGCATATTCAAACATACAGGTGTTT